ATGAGTTATTTTGAGCAGTTTAGTTCCTCAGGGAGTTTTTTGTTCACTTAAGAAATAATAAATCACTTAAATTATGAAGGGTAACGTAGTTGGTGAAACCTGTTCATCAATGTTATTCCCACTTCTGACTTCCTATATTTGGCTCTTAGCTACAACATTTTTTTACACCATGAACCCAGGGAGTAATTGAGGAAGTATGTATGCATATTCAGCTGCTGTGTCCACCATGTTCACACTTCTTTATAGGCTTGTCGACAAATGTGCCCCCTCAATCAGCGTCTTTGTTAATATCAAATGTACTAACTATGCATATAATCCACATCCCAGCTGGTGCATTTTATACAACAATAACAATGGTGGTAACACATTGTCTATTTTTAACAAACCATTGGCCACAGGTGTTTAAATGGCTTTTTAATGGCCTCCAAGCCTGCAATATGGCAATGAGCACTCAAGTGAACACTTAAGAGACTACTGCCAAGAGGCAGGTGCTGTGGGTGTGTGACTCTGTGTGGTTTTGTGTGTGTACAACTGTATGAGCAATGCTTCTGGCACTTTCACAAGAGAGGAGAGCACCTGTCACATAAAGAGAATAAAGAGAATTGACAGGTGTAGATAAGAGGTTGGGGGAGAGAGTGACATTAGTTGAAGAAAGAGAATGTTTAGAGGCTTAATTTAATCACCAATTTGGATCCAATTTTAAGTTTAAGAGAGCCCTCTGGAGCAACATGCTTTTAGTATTCATGTGCAAATTGCCCCATAGAATTCTACTTAACTGAACATTTAAATGAGTAAAGATAAACTTGGCTTTGCAATGGCATATTGCATTTATTTTATTTTTTAGATAACAAGTTGTAAACTATTTCTGTTAGCCAAGCCGTAGTGACTCAATCGATCTTATTTGAAGTCTACTGGAGCCATTTGTTCTATTTAAATGGAGGGCTGTTTGTTTGTGAATTCAGAATGAAGCTCACTAGATCTCTGACATTGGTGTTACTGTATGGCAGATGATGCAGGTTCATTAAAACCATTTAGTATGTCGTCATTCCTGGATCATTCCTTGATATATGTACAGCATTACTATTCGATCCAAAATCGAATGAAGGAAATGTATTACAGTATTGCTGCCCAGTAACTGTGGTAACTGTTGCATATTTTAGGGGTTATAAAAAACGTTTTAATTGGCTTCTGATTTTTTCTTAAAGCAGAAACTTGTTGAACCAATTTCTTTCTTCCTGGCAGCAATTACACAATTATACCATTATACCAGAATTTCCTGATAATAATGCTCCATTTATAAGACCTTTGAGGATGATTGTATGTTTTTAAGGGAGGTCTGACATCAAGGACTTGTCAGTTGGCATCTGAACGTCAACTTTTTAATTCAGACAACCAAATTCACTTTAATCATTTCCAGGACATCCATTTTGTCGTTGTCACGACTCCATCAACGATAATTATGATACATATATTTAGGTCAGCTCAATTGCCATAATGGAACTTTTGATCGTATTACATAATCTTCCTCAGCAGACTCTTTTTTTTCCCCAGACGTCATGAAATACAGATGGTCAAATTAACCATTTCTCAAGCTACTTTAAGAAGTTCTTTGCCATGTTCAATTAAAATATTCCCTATCTTAGCAAAACAATGTGATACAGGCAACGATTTGTGGACTTTGTAGTGAGATTGTCTGGGAGAAATGTCAAATTGTATCTTCCCTATCTCAAGATTTATACTTATCTCAGAAAGGAGACACTGGCTCCTTGGACAGATTGAAAACTCTCTGGAGGGGATCAGAATTGAGCGATATGGTGTGCAGTAATGAATGTAATGTAGGCGCACAAGCAATAGAGTAAGTATGAGCTTTTTACAGTATATTCTACAGAGCTTTGCTCGTCAGATTTGTGCAGACATGCGGCTCATCCTGTAGTCACTGATTTTAAAGAAAAACTCATTCAACCCCAGACGTCATATACAAAATATGTGTACATGTAGCTGTAGTGATGCACAGAAGAACATGAGTCTCCAGGCTTGTGCACATGCCATACGTGTGGGGCAAATGTAAAGGTTGTGACCTTGCAGCGCTCGTTTAGTGAGTTCTCCTCGTGCCCTACATTGTTTGGCACGAGCTTCTTGCATTGCTTCTTCTCTTTACTAAGTCTTTAGTGGATTGCACCAAATTCGCGGATCTGTCCCCACCCGATAGTGAAGTGAGAGAAAATAGCTAGGTGTTTAAGGAGGTGAGAGTCATTTCAGAAATTCATACTTGAGCTGTGAGTCAGTCCCTGCTGTGACGTTTCTGTCTACACGTTTACTGTTGGCATACAATTACCAGAGCCTCAACAAATAGCAGCCACTTCACAAGTTGGGAATTTGCTATTGGAAGAGCAAAGAATGAGAATAATTTTGGATATTGTGTTTGCAACTTATGGATACTACATAGTCATATATTTAAAGTTTGTGGAATTGGAGTTTGTTTCTAAGGAATAAGCTTTTATAAGATAAATGAACAAATTATCAAGCTCACAACACAACAAGATCAGCTAAAGATGGTATTTCTTGGTCTGATTGGTTGGTGGTTCGATGGATATTTTTCGCAACAGCACCAAAAACAAGAACAGAATTGAGACACATAAAGCGAAAGTAGATCAGAATATTTCTTGGTAATACAATCGCTGAAACAAAGCTGCACAAACCTCCTACCCTAAAGTTTTTTTCTGGTTTTTCATTGAGTTTCTGAGCCATGACAAGTCAAAAATCAGTGCCTGCTCCCCAGATTTAACCTCAGGAACGGGGTTAACCAACAGCTGGAAAAAGTGTCACCATGGAGAACTTGAGTTGTTTTGCCACATGGTACTTAAAGATCCTCTTTTATGAGCTAGAATGAGGGCATTCCCTATTATGTTGAAGGTCAGGGAGTTTGTGAGAGAGTCAAAGACAAACAGAGTTCAGTGGGAAGAATTGTGAAATGAAAGCTCTTTGAAAGCTGTAAATTACGTACTTCCAAGGTTTAAGTTACAAAATTCAGGGATATTTTTCATCAATAAATCAGTACTTTAAGACCAGTAGATCAGAAGTTACAGGTAAGGGTGGTGATCCTTGGTTGGGGGATTCCGTCTGATGACATCACCAGACATGGGTGCCCTTGTCCCGGGCAGTCAGAAGTTGTGGGAGTTGTAGTTTGTTTAGAACAACATCGCTTCCCAGGCAGCTGCGATGTGGTAGTGGTGGAGTCCCTCCCCCGCTGCCGGGAACAGAATTTCAGAGATCATCACAGGATGCCAGCTCACCCTTTCGGCAGCTTCGGTGCTACAGCCCCGCCTCGACTCGCTCCAACAGAGCACATGTTGGGTGATGAGAGCACATGAATAAGAGAGTGAGAGAGGAGTCCAGAGACAGAAAGTTCAGTCACTCAGAGGCTACTGAACGCACTTGATGTAAAGACTCAACTGTGGACAACATTTTTCTTTGCAATTTCAATGGAACTGGCTCAAGAAGAGAAAATATTGAATCTATTTTTGAGTTTTTTGGGAAAGATGGAGTAGGAAGTCAGGCATTTTTATCTAGAGTTCAGGTAAGGTTTATTTATCTACTAAGTTTAATACTATGAAAATATATTTAATAGTGATTTGAAGCAAATAAAATCATTAACTTTCAATAATATACTTACATACATTTTACAGAATTTCGAATGTATGTTGACAGTTTACAAAGCATGATTGCACTCAGCAAAGAACGCTTTTTTCTTCTTTGTCCTCCAAATAAACGCATTTTCTCCTCAAAATTCTATACAACCATGTTTTAATCAAAGGTCTTATTCCAAAATAAATTAAACACAACACCAAACCAAATGCTATGCCAAACCTTGCCACTGACTTTCATGTAAACTTTGTGTAGTGATTAAAAACAACCACAGAAACAAACTGTGTTTACAACTTCCTGGCCTGCCCTCCCATTCTTGTTGCTACTGTGCTTGTGAGATGCTGTTGACATGGGTTTGGAAATAGCTGCCGTCCGAGCGATTTACCATCTGTCCCCAAGGGACGCTCAATTTGGAGCCCGTCATGTATACGTCGTGTATCACTTTGCAAATGTATACAGGACACTGGAGGACAGTATTGGTGTATTATTTTCTTCTTGTAAGCATGAGTGCTACCACAGAATGAACTGTTGGATGTGTGATTGTTGGACTTCATAGACGCATGTACCTGTATGTTGTTTTTATTTTTACAACAAAAAAAGCAACAAACCAAAATCACCAAAAAACAGTTATTACTAAGAGCAGACCATTTATGCTGTTTTATATATATGTTACTCCTTCCAGTCTAAGCACTAAGAAAAAAAAATACTCAATCTGCAACATGTAATCAAAAAGTCTGACTTTGCCAGCATGAGTCAGCAGCCAGATAACAACTTGAGGAGACAGTTTGTCCTCTCCCAGTCCAGCTCTGGGATTGGCAAACTGGCATCACTGCTCTTGCCTTGGCTCACACAGACCAGTTGGCCAGGACCCTCCCTGGTTCACGTCAGACCATGTGGGCCTGCTCTGACGCAACGTGACAGGGGCTTTAGTCCTGCAAATTGGCTATTAATAGCTCTGGAAGGGCTGTGTTGCTGGTGGAAGGGCTGCTGGCTGAACCTCAGGGTCAAAATAAGATGGGTGCAGAGGGGGGTCACTGGGCTTGTGGTGTGAGGGATACTGTTCCATGTAAATGTGACTTGATGAATGATGTTAATAAGATCTCATTAAACCCCTTTGTGCACAAGGGTGAGATAATTTAAATCACCTTAAGTGGCTTAGGTACTCAGCTTATCCATCAAAAAATGAAACGCGAACTTGCGTCACATTTTTAACATTCTGACTGGGTGTTCACATTTAAAAAAATAAATACTATACAGAATCCATTGTAGAAAACTTTATACACTGTTTCTGTCTCAAAAACTGTTTCATGAGCATGGCACTACCTTCATAATTTTAGTCTTTGCATCCCTTTTAGATGTTATTCACACCCAAGGCCCACTTGATGGAAGCCTATATGCACGGGTCCGCAAGAAAGACTCCCTGGAGGGAGTTGTCACCATCAATGGCCTCCCAGTCCATGAAAACGCCTTGACAAATGCAGAGCACCCGTTACAGCACCCCAACCACCCCCTCCAAACTACTGAGCACACTCTTCCTGTGACAGGTCACCCCTCCCTCCCTGCAGTCGACCACACACTTTCCGTGAGCAGCGACTCAGGAAACTCGACAGCATCCGTCAAGACTGATCGTACAGACGAGCACAGCCAGTCCTTGCAGAGTGCCGCGAACCATAACAACCAGACTGCCACCCACCCATCACTCAGCCCGCAGGAGAAAAGAGAGCTCGACCAGCTTCTGAGCGGCCTTGAAGCACCGACCCATCAACGACAAGCCTACCTGTCCACGTCTACAAGTCCAGGAGGAGGTGTCCGGCACCTGGTTCCAGCACAAGTGCATGTCAATGGGGGCCACACAAGACTAGTTGGCGCCCCTGTAACAGACGAACGGGAGACAGATATTCTTGACGACGAACTACCTAATAGCCAAGAGGGCAACAGTGTGGACAGCTTGGGCACACTTTCATCCCTTGAAGGTCAGGCGACACCAGGGGATCTATACTACCAATCACAGACACCAAGTAGCAGGCAGAACGACGGGCCTTACCTAGAGAGAGGTGTTCTTGGAGAAAAGTTGAGCGAGATGCCTGTGCATGGAGTACGAACGCCAACGGCGATGCAAGACAGATCTGCGGACTCTGCATCGCCACAGGGGGGATACAGCAACTACCAGAACGGAGAAGGGATGTACCGTTCTCAGTCCTTTGGGAATCCACCAGCGAGCAGTCCTGAAACCAACGCTAAACTGATGCCAAGGGCCCCAGAGCGGAGTACCAGTAGCAGGGAGGCTGTTCAAAGAGGCCTGACTAACTGGCACCAGTATAGCCTCCCAGATGATCCGTTTGGCCCTCCTCTTCAGTCAACCCACAGCTTGCCTCACTTCCCAGCCTCACAGCGGGACATTGAGCAGTCCATCGAGGCACTCAACATGCTAATGCTCGACCTGGACCCAATCAACTCCCACATGTCAAAGTCAAACAGTGCACCTCCTGGGGAGAACAGCCTCAGTTCATCCCAGGTGCCCTTCTCCCAAACCGTTGCAAGACCCTCGTACCAAGCGGACTCTGCCATCCACGGCTACAACAACTCGGGGTCTGTTAATAACTCCTTCAATCAGCCATTGCGGTCAACTGGTAGAGTCTCAGCAATGTCCAACCAGAGCCCTGTCATGGAGTCCCCAGTGTATTCTCCCCAGAGGTCCAACGCAGGCTACCAACACCAGAACACCACCCCGACGCACACTCCCGAGCCGTACATCCACACACGCCAAGCAGCCCACAACTACCCAATGGACCCCTTGTCTAATTTTAACCAGCAGGTGCAAGGAAAACCTGTGAACTCTTTCCCAGGTGGTGGGGTTTCCCACTCTCCAGACCTGCAGAGTTCATCTCCTTACCAAGGCTACAGTGCCTCTTCCTCTCCCCTCCCCACACTCACCCCGCAGCCCAAGGATACATCCTCCACGTCCTTGCCCAGAGAACAAGATGCAGAGGAGGAGACGTTAAACTTGGAGGGCTTGGTGGCTCACCGTATTGCCGGTAAGACTTTCTTAGGGACTGAATGATGACTCAGTGAGTGAATGTGGGAGGGGAAGCGTGAGTGACAGAAAAACTGAATGACTTTTTCTCAGATTTTATCCAGATTTAATGTTTTATTATCGGACATAATTAAAATTATCTCAAGAAAATAATACACATATTGTAGCTTAAGCTTAAATATTTTCCATGATAATGGGATTGACAACATTTTCCATAACATATTTTATTGGACCAAGGCAGTTTTTTGCATCTTTTAATTTATTTATAATAATTATTTATACTTTACTACAGAGAATTTAGCAAAACATAGCATAAATGTTCCGTTGGTATCAATTGCTTTTTAATAATTTTCATGAATATCAAACTACAGAGACCCGACAACATTTTGGGATAAGTAATGGTCTCTGTTATAGTTACCATTTTATCTCCTTTTACATCGTATGTCTCTTTTTGTATATTGTTGCAGGGTGATCTGAAGTTGCAGTAATCTGCATGTACTACTGCAGTGTATACTTGCTTCATGTATGCATCCTGGACTACACTTGGACACTGAACTATTAATAGGGTTCATTTTGTAACGTTTTAACTTCAGTTTGAAGCATTCTTAGTCCAAAGTACCAAGATGCATGTGAGCTGTGCAGCTTTCGGCCCTGTTCTGTTACAGACCATCCTGAGGTGCCATACCAGAGGAATAACCTGCAGTCATAAAATTAGCTCTGCAGCTGAAATCAAGTGAGGTGGTGAGAGTGCAGACAGGATGGGAGTAAGAATAGCCAGGCGTTCAAAGCCTTTAGCTTCCATGCATTGACTGCATTCAGATTTACCTTCATGTGGAACCATATGGAGGCTCCCAGGCGCCATCTAGTGGTACAAAGTTGTGACTTCCTCTATCAAATCCATAGTTAAACCATTTCTCTTATGCTTTGACCATTTGACGGAAATCTTTTCATTTTCGTTTCATTTCATTAGATCCATTTCTGTTCTGATTTTTTTTCTCCTTTTCCTGTTGACCCCATCACCCTGCTGTATGGACCACATTTCCCACCATTGCTTCCTCCCTCACCTTCCTCCTCCACCTTCTTTCCTCCACTCTCTGCCCTCCATCCTCCACCCTGTCCTGCCCTCCCCCTGGAAACAGAGTACAACGCTCGTATCCGGGGCATCAGTGAAAGCATGACACCGCAATCTGACCGCCATCGCTCCTATTCCTTCTCTGGTTTGTCTTACTTTCCCTTTTAATTTCTTATTTTCTTTTTCATTATTTTCCTGCATTTGTAGAAACCTTTTCTTCTTCACAACCATGTTTTTCCACTTCTCTGAAGTCTTTGTATGATTACTTTCCCCATGATTTCCAAGTTCTGCTCTGTTTCACCACTTTGTATCCCCTTCACTACGCTGCTTTACCAACCTCTTTTCTTGCTCCCTTTTCTTTCTCTCTCTTAAAGCACATTTAGAATATGAGGAGGCTAAGCTTTTAAAAAGCGGAGATTGCAACGTACGCACCAGCGAATTAAATGAAAAGATGAGAAGGGGGGCTGGTGTTGATGTTTCAGTTTCTTTACTGACAAAAACTTTGGGAACATTGATGTAGGTGCATATTGTCTTAAGAAAAAAAGAAAATGTGTGGTTTAAAAAAACGAAGATACACTGAATTTATTGGGATGTTTTCAGGTGTTAGATCCAGGGGAATGACCCCAGAAGTGACGCAGGAGACGGGTCGGCGTCGGACCACCAGTGAGGGACAATACCAGAGCAGCACGCCACCAGTGGATTCACCGGATTTCGCCCACAACCTGGCACTTAACCCAGGAGGAAGACCAAGAGAGGTACGTTTTTTTAGAATCATGGACTTTTAAATCAAAATGTGTATAGTTCAGTGTACAGTTCATTTTCTCAAGTAAAAGGGTGGACACAGTGTCTTACTTTGTCCATGTGGAGTGATTCTGTCCACATGTGTTTGATTCTTCTACTTACCTGTCCCCTCTTCATCTCCTCCAGGGGCCCATTCACAGTTACCGAGAAGCGTTCGAGGACGACGAAGCGGACCGGTTTGCCAACAGCCCAATCAATAGAGGTGGTGGTGAGATTTCCCCACAGACCCCCAGCTTCCCCGTGTCGCCACAGACTCCTTACTTCAACATGTGTAGGTTCCGTCTGCCTGCAGACAGGGGGCGCTCTAAAATCCTCTTCACACTGATTTCTGACCTCAAATTTTATGTTTGTTTTGTCTTTTTTTGAGTTGTTCAAAATGTAGCTTCAGCTAAGCAAGGCAACTAGAGAGAAAGCAGCCAGAGTTTAAACGTTTCCAATCGAGAAATCTAGAAAGAGAAGCCGCTCCCTCAAACATGTCAACATGCTCAGAAGAAAGATTCATCAGCAAGAGGAGCACGGTGCATTGTTGTTGTTGTAGTCTTTGTTTATCCTGTCCGACTAGGATAAACAAATCCTCCTTTATTATGCATCTAGCCTGTTAGCTAACGCTTGTGAAAGACATTGACATCAAAGGCACGTCCTTTTGACACCAATTCAGTGATTGGATGGATTTATTTGGAGGAAAAGCAACAGGGTGTTTTTGTCTTTGGATGTGAAGTAGTTTATTTGGAGAGTAGAATCACAATGGTAAAGCACAGCACACAAACATATATTCACTCTGGAAACAAAATGATAAAGTAGAATCTGTGAGGGCACACGACTAATACTAACAAAAAGTTCTGTTTTTTTCTGGGGGGGGGCAACTCGGGTTCAGAACTGACCTGTGGCTCCTTTCCTGCGTGTCGTTCCCCACTCTCCCTCTCTCTGATTTCTGATTCTATCCACTGTCCTATCTCTAAAAATAAAGGCCAAAAATTAACCTTCCAAAAGAATAGTCAAATTCAGTCAAACCCCTAAACACAAACTACAAGCATCTCACTTTCAAATGAAAGAATACCATCTGAAGAATGGTGTCAGTTTGAACTCGTCAGTAGCAAACAAAGTAAATTTTTTCCTCACAGTCATGAGCCTCCCATACTTTTTCTTCAACACTTTCAGCAGCATCACTTTGCATGGGAACATTTACCGCCGTGATTTCTGGAAGGAGTGACATTGAAGCATTCGCACTCAGAGTGGCGTTTGCGCTGTTACCACTCTGCATCTCCTCCCTCATCTTCAACGCCGCACACTCCAGCTCCGCTCTGGGACAGGCGGGCTTCTCCTCTCTGTTCCAGGCCTGGTAGTCCGTCGGCTGCCCGTCCGTCCACAGCCACAGCCTTCCTGGGAAGAAGCGCAGTCCGATCCAGACGTGGTCCGAAGTTTCGTTTTTGTCTAACTCTCCCCAGATCAGCGTCATCTCTGCCTCTGAGGCAACACTAGCCAGGTCTTTGTGATGCTCCCTGCAGTAATCCAGAGCCTCCACCCACGTCTTCCTCTCCCTCACCACAAACACTTTGTAGCAGAAGAATGGGACGTAATACCATGAAGATGCATCGTGCCATTTATCTCGCAGCATAAAGCCATTGTCCTCATCGAATGTGTACGAGGGCTGACCATAATCCCAGAAGAATTTGGACACCTCCCCGGCTCCGGACCACTTCCACTTCTTTGGGTCGGTGTGGTTCCTCTCCAGTCCGAACCAGAAGGCAATTATGTAGTTGTTATAGGGGAAGAGGTCGCGCAGAAGCTTCATGTCGTGATCACTGCTGACAGGAGCGAGCTCTGTGTGATACTGCCGACAGAAATCCTGAGCTTCATGCCAGGTCTTTTTCTCATCGATGAACACGTATTTGCCGAACGCTGAAAACAGGCTCAGCAGGAGGAGGACGAAAGTGAACCTCTGATCCATCTCTGCGTGTGTCTGAAAAGACTGCGAGTCCTGAAGCTCGCCGCGACCCTGTTTGTCGGTTGTCCCACAGCGTATTTGCATAGGACGGGCCGTCAGCTGCAAGAAATCACAACAAACATGTTCTCTCCTGCTTTGTTTGAAACCCAAGATCTTCACATTCTCATGAAGATCAGCAACAACATGGGAGGAGTGATTTATGATTTCAGTGGATGATTGATGTTCATTTGATATCTAAGTGAATCCCTCTGTCGTCTTCAGAGGAGGTTTACTTTTAAGAATAGTTTTACAAACTAGAGTATTCAGGGTATGCCAAGAATAAGAAGAATAAAATGTTTCTACATCTTTTCAATTAGTCGCTTAGCACGATGACACTTCGAAACCTCCTACTGTACTAGTAGTGCGTACAGGTTTGGTCACAGTGCCGTATGCCAAAACTACCTGGATGTTGTACTGATTCCAGAAACATCTACAGTATGCACCAGTCTCCGTCGCGTACTGTTTCCCACAACGCAAAGCGCCAGGTCAGAGATTGAAATGAAGGACAGCAACTGGGGGGAAATAATCACAATCAGACCAAACCACACAAAGAAACCACTGTAAGTGGATGAAACACTGTAGCGACGTTGTTCACTTTCACATGCAAAGCTCAGAAACCGGTTGAGCTGCAGCCTGGCATACTGCAAAATAACCAGCGACTGGCAGTCACACTACAGTACTTTCTGCGTACTACGTTCGACAGTAGTATGTAGTAGGCCGTTTCCAACACAGCCAGAGTCTTCCAGAAAGTCATTGCACCAAGCCGAGAAATAGTCCTACACATTACTCCTCCTAAAAATCGTTGGAGTCAGGTTAGCAGTTTCCAGGCTCATCTAAATATCCCCTCACATAGGTACCAAGAGTGTAGTCTATCTTTTAGCCTTAGTGACACATGTGAAGCCAAATGACTAAATGATGCAGCACAAACAAATGTTCACATTTGTTTCAGGGAGAAGGGACGTGTTGCATGACTTGACCGCAAACACAGCACAGAGCAGGTGTGTGCAAATTATAGTGACAGGTGTTTCCACTGAAAGCAAACCCAGTGAAGACGAATGCAAAGCAGGAAGAGGGAAGGGGAAGTGTATATGTACTTCAATCAATTCCTATTTCTTTTTTCACGTAAATGAATTATCTGCAACCTGCCGATCCTCAGCATACGACAAAACTCACGCTCTTGACTTCGTATTTGAAAGACGATGCAAAGCTTTCGTAGCATGACCGATGTTTGAAGACACATGTTGTCAGGTCTGCAGGACACACAGAGCACAAAACCTCCTCCATATATCGAACAGATCTACACTCAGAGTTTAAAGACACTTTGTACACCCAGACAGCCAGCCCCCTTTTTTTTCCCCCTGCAGTCAGATGTGAACGCACGGCTGTTGCAGTAAGACTCTGCTCTGTGGCACCGAACACTCATAATAACCCCCCCCTCACATCTCTCCATACCACCTTAAGAGGGACTACATCCTGAATCCATGTCATGAGGAGAATTGGATCACTTTGCACGTTGAAGATTCCAAAAGATTTCCAAAATGATGAACATCTCTCACTAGAGTCTTTGAAAGTCTGCGTCCGTGTGTTGAGATTCAACTCGAGCATGAAAACAGGAGGAAGTTAAAACGCTTATCATCTCATTTTGGAAATCTCTCTTCAGTTTTTTTTTGGACAGCTTTCATCCCTGGCATTGACACAACTCCATCCTCTTAACCTCAAGTCTGGACCCCGTCATTGTTTAAACGGCCTCATGCCTCCCCCAACATTCTCATACTCGACTACACACCTGTGTTTCAGATGAGTGCTCATTGGCTCGTTTGTAGCTGTGGAAGAGCATCTTAGTGAGCCTGACATATTAGCTTGTAAGGGGTTTTGTAATCCTAGGTGAGGATTGATACTCATATGAGGACATCAAATATGTCAGGGTCTTACAGGAGTAAAAAGCGGGTGTGTTTTAATTTGAAAGTATCAGAAACTCTTCCTGTTTTATCCTGATGCTTTTAGCTGATCAAGCATGTTTTAACAGGCAAACTGTTCCAGCTATGAAGGATGGAAGAAATCACTCTAGTGCCGTTTATTAGCACAGGGGGCTAGAGACACATTTAATCGTCTGACCTCTGACCTCTGATTTCCTCTTCCATCTTATACTAAGCTTTAAAAACATAGAGGAGAAGCAGCATCACGCTTGTAGTCCGCTTGAGGACTGTTTAATCTCCCCGAATCATGGAATGCATTTTCATGCAGCGTTACATCGATGCTTCAGAAGCATTGAGTCTCACATCAGTTATTTTACATCCTTGCATGGCTTGTTTTTTTTTTTTTTTTACGGTTCTCATCTCTTTCTTTTTCTTTTGTTTAGGATTTAGTTCTAACGTGAACATTTCCCTTTTCTCGTTCTCTTCAGCTCGCTCTCCTCCCGGCTTGGCTAAGACTCCTCTGTCAGCGCTGGGACTGAAGCCTCACCAGCACGATGGATCAGGTCAGTTCAGACACATGAATACATGATTATTTCACATCAGTTAATTAATGTCATTCTAAAGTTGAATATACCACATGAAGCTTCAGGAAGCATGAATTACCTTCGTGGATAACCCAACATTTCCGAAGATGCGTTTTGGATAAATCTGTCAAAATTAGAATTCTTGGACATTTTCTGGCCGTGTGGATGTCAAACAGCTTTTCTAAAAACGCTGCAACAAACGTATTACAAATACCTGACACCGAAACACTGCAGCTCTGTGGCTTTTGCTGCAGAAAGTGGCTTCAATGTTGGTGTCTGCTGCCCTCTAGTGGGTACTCAATGCAAACAGCTAAAGCTCACCCCTCCTGTTCTGGCTTCTTTGCACTCAAAGTTTCTCCTTCTGTCTTTCCTCCTCTTCCACACATCCTTTCATTCTCTTCCTCTGCTGCTTTTTCTCTTTTGTTTTTTTCTTGCTGTCAGACTCTGAATCTAATGATGGAGATGAAGGTAAGGGCGTTTCTATGGCAACGTCTCTGCGCGCACACACCGAACACCAGAACAAAACAGTCTCCTGTCCTTGATTAAACATTTTTGTTCGTTTGTTCTGCCTTCAGTGGGCATTCCTGCAGCCTTTTCCTTTTCAGTTTTGCATCCCAGCCTGCCGAACATGTTTGTTTCAAAAATATCTGAAGACTTCCCCGTTTGGTTCTGGAGAAATAGAGAAGTCTTTTTGTCACTGAGGGTCTCAACGTGTGTCTTTGTGTTTTGTGATCCTCAGAAAATCGTAATTTCGGGGACTCCAGGGTGCAGCCGTTCAACGCTCCTCTCTCCTCCAGCAGCCCCGTCCATGGTGTTGATGGGTATGTCGTCATGGAAACGCAATATTTAGAAGTTGTCCGGAAAAACAAACGATAAACAATTCATTTATTTTTTGTGTGTGTTTTTGCCTCGTCTGTCCGCAGAAGAAGGATGGGTTCCTCCAACAGCCCCGCCCCCTCCCACCCTCACAGACCCGCCTCCCCTGAAGGCTCCCAGGTCAACATCATGGGCGTCCACACCGTCCCTGGCAGCCCCAACACCCTGCATCGCACTGTGGCCACCAACACTCCGCCAAGCCCCGCCCTCCAGAGACGACTGGGCCAAGCCAGCCCCTCATTGGCCAGACACCCTTCTCCTTCTGCGGGCGGCGTCCCATCCAGCCCTCTGATTGGCCGGAAAGTGGCAGCCGTAGCAGCCGCCGGTGTGCCTCCGAGCCCTCTGATGGGTCGCCGGATGGCCCCGAGCGGCCACGGCACGCCTGACGAGATGGGAGCTGCTTCCCGCCTGGGGAGCGCGCAACCGCCGGCCACGCCCGCCTTCCCCGTCTCCCCGCAGCTCCCGGAGAAGAGACACATGTCCAGCGGGGACGCGGAGAGGACGGACAACAGAAATCTGACGCCCACACCTGCGAGCGGAGGGAGCACGCCTAACCTGACTGGCACACACACGCTGCCCGACGTCTCAAAGTCCATTTACGGTGAGACGCTGAAAGATCAGAGGAAATGGAAGCTTCCAGATGTTTTTTTCTCCTCTACAGTTTTTCTTGTTTTCTTTTTTTTTGTCCAAACAGATGGATATCCAGACATCAAGATGAATGTGAAGTTCGTCCAGGACACGTCCAAGTACTGGTACAAGCCGGACATCACCAGAGAGCAAGGTGAGGGGGGGCATCGTTTATCAGTATAATAATGAAGGAGTAAAATAAAAACATCAGCCATCTTTACAGCACGCGTAATCCTGTTTTATTTAATCCTAACTCGTCTTCCTCCTCCTCTGCTTATGGTCTCTTTGTTTTCAGCCATCAACCTGCTGAAGGACAGGGAGCCCGGCGCGTTCATCATCAGGGACAGCCACTCCTTCCGCGGAGCCTACGGCCTCGCCATGAAGGTGGCCTGCCCACCGCCGACCATCCAACAGAACAAGAAAGGTAAAGACTCTAACTCGGGCTGCGTAAATGGTCTCATTTCAAACTCTGAGCCCTTCCTTACGTTGTCTGAACTCTTTTCTAGCTGGAGACATGACGAACGAGCTGGTGAGGCACTTCCTCATCGAGACGAGCGCTAAAGGCGTGCGGCTGAAGGGCTGTCCTAACGAGCCCTACTTCGGTGAGTGAAAAGCGGTTTCCTCGTGTGGTTTGCCTCTAAGTTGTTCTTAAAAGATCAAGTTTAACATTTTGTTTTTATGTTTTTTTTTTGCAGGTTGTCTTTCTGCTCTGGTGTACCAACACTCCATGACTCCTCTCGCTCTGCCCTGTAAGCTGATGATCCCCGCCAAAGGTCAGTTTCAGTTGACTTGCGATGTTATTATCGACGACTGAAGCTGCTCGTTTGTAGTTTTCGATCATATTGTTTGATTCTACCGTGTCCCTCTCAGACCCGAATGACGAGGCGCTGGAACTTGCAACGCCCACGGATCCGGTGGTTGACTTTCTGAAACAGGGAGCAGGTAAACAACATAAATGAAACTGAACTGCAACTCGACAAGTGATTTAAGCAGACTCCTCTTTGTTGTTGGAAAAGCCAATGAAGCAATGACAACAAAGAAAAGCGGAGGAGGAGGAGAGAGATAAATGACGGCACAGAAACAGTAAAGACAAACACTCAGAGGGTACAGTGTACAATTTCAGGATGTTTTGAGTCATATGACCTGACTGAGGCTCCAGACCGGTCTTATGATAGTCTGACATGTTTGATGTTTTGGTCGTACGACTGCACACACTCACAGTGAGAGCAGAGCCGCGAGCCAGTCCTCGACGTCGGCACCTTTTTGACTTCAACCACCGTCTTTGTTTCCGTTTTTTTTTTTCAATTGACATTTTACAAATGCTCCTTCCAGATGTAACTCCGGGTTTACGAGTCTCAAAACAACAACAAAGATTCAAAAGAAATCCGAGATAATTCAAACGAAGCAGTCCTGATTATTCATGAGTCACTTCCACAACTGCTGGTATGAAGATGACTATCAAACAAAGCGCTCACACTTTGTCACCCTTATCTTTACAGTGCAGAAAGTCCCTGAGGATGCTCATGGTAAATACTGGATGGACTGCATGTGGATGCTGTGATGCCTGCTCACTCATGGAAATAAAGAAATGCTTTCATCAAGTCATTTTGACATTTTTAATCACATCTGATATCAACTGTAAATGAAGTCTCTGCACGTGAAACACCTTCTCTTCACGGCTTGTTCTAGAGCTTCCTGTATGTGGAGTTGATCCTGCACTGCATGACAAATCACCGCTCGTCTTCTTTTCACCACACCTTCCGTCACCTTCCATCGACCTGTGTGCACGTCCGCTCCCTCCACTGTCTGATCACGTTAACCCTGACGTTGTTTTTTCGTCTCCTCGTAGCGTGCAACGTCCTTTACATCAACTCTGTGGACATGGAGTCTCTCACGGGGCCTCAGGCCGTCGCCAAGGCGATCACTCAGACTCTGTCCACCAACCCGCTGCCTGCCGCCACCACCGTCCACTTCAAAGTGTCCTCGCAGGGCATCACGCTCACCGACAGCCAGAGGAAGTGAGTTCACACAGGCAGACAAACAAACAAACACTTTGTTCTCCTTTATTTAACCGAGGTTTACACTCTCTAACAGAATGAGATGTTAACTTTGAGTTAGTGTTCATTTTTCAGATTCTGCTGTTGTTCATTTGTAACTGGCATTCAGTCAAATTAATGAAATGATTAGGATTTGATCTTTATCTCATCAATCCAAACATATATATCTAATGTCTAATATCTTGTATTAAACAGAGGAGGACTAGGGCCAGACATGAGCAATCAATAATGAGAGAGGAGGACGTTTTGTTTTTTCATTATACATTTTGAAAAAAAAGTCAAAATGTCGAGAATAAAACTGAAATAGAATTTGAGAAACCTTGACTTCATTTTCCAAATTGTGTTTCAATTTGAGTGCATAATGAACAAAAAAAGTCTTCCTCCTCTCTTTATTGATTACTCGTGTCTGGCATTAATCCTCGTCCATAGAGTTGACATGCTTTGGATGAAGACTTCATACACCCATGTGTGTTCAAACGTCACCATTCTGACTCTCAGTGGTTTTCAAATTGAGATTCTTTATCTGAGAGCCTACTTTGGCGACCCCTAGTGGTCATCTTAGAGAAGACACTTTGGCACCACATACTAAAAGTAAAGGCTGTAGATACAGTGTCCTGATGATCAGTTACTTCACTCTCTATGTTTCTGTTTCAGGCTTTTCTTCAGGCGACACTACCCCCTCAACACAGTGACCTACTGTGACACCGACCCCCAGGACAGAAAGTGAGACTCTTCTTCTTGTCTGAACAGCAAACTGACTACAGAGAAAGCTTCATTTTTGATTGTTTTGATTCATCTTGACTTATCTGGTGTTCTCTCCTTAGATGGGGGAAAGAAGGAGGAGGCTCCGTGAGGTGAGTTAAGAGACTTTATGGTTGTAATTTATCAGAAACAAGGGGGATAAATGTATCTCATTGAACTTTGACACTGATGAATAAAAAGTGCTGACTACAGGGTTTTGTTCTTCCTCCTCATCCCACCAGGCTTTTTGGATTTGTGGCGAGGAAACAAGGAAGCACAACAGACAATGTGAGCCACCTGTTTGCAGAGCTGGACCCCGATCAGCCCGCCTCCGCCATCGTCAGCTTCATCTCCAAAATGATGAAGCGGTGAAACCCCCTCCCACTGAACGCGCAGATGGCGGTGGCCATTGTTGAAATCTTCCATCGTCGTTCGTTGGTGTCCTCTCCGCCAGGACACGATGATGTCCTTCTTTTTTCTGTTTCCTGTTTTTCCCTTCTTTTCTCTCTCTCTCTCCCTTTTTTGTCTCTCTGCCTTGCTGGTTTGTCTCGACTTTTTTGGGAAAGATTTGACGCGGAAACAAAGCGCTAGAGGATGTGCTGCGTGGAGCTGCGGACGTGACAAACATGGAGGCGAGTGAAGGGAGAAACTGAACTCACAGGGTGACCTGTACCAGAGGAAAAAAAAAGCTAGCTAAAGACTTATGGAGGGGAAGCTAAGTGCAGGCGGGAACACGTTAGGACTACGTTTCAGGGTTTTCTGTTGTCGTTTTTGTCGATTGATTTACCAAAGGTAGTTGCAACACAAGTGCAAGAATGATGTAGCTATGAAGCCATTTTGATTTCCTCTTTTGAAAGAAGAAGAAGTGTCGACAAAACAAAGATTTAAAAAAAAAAAAAGACGTTCTTGAACTCATCTTCAGGAAAAAAAAGTTGGCCTTGACGGCTTTTAGCAAAACAGAATCTGAAGACCTTATGCATGTTAGCTTGATCTTTAAGCTCGGTTCTTCTACCTTCCACACAGAGAAAAAAAAAAGAAAAAAAATCATTGTGAAACCTTTCGAGTGGTCATCTCCGGGTCTGTTGTGTGTTTGGAAAGGGCTCTGCAATGAAACAAAGACTGATTTAAAAAACTGCGCACAGCAGACCAGACTTTGAAACTTTCAAAAAAAAAAGAAACATGCCACGCTACAAAAAAAGGTCAGCGCACTTTGCATCGGTCCAAGCCTTGAAATCTCTCAAATAATGGAGGACGTTTCGACTGCAATCAAAGACTTTGTCCACAAGATGGCGCCACTCACTCAGGCTTGGACCTTCGCCCCTCTCTCCTCCCCCCCCCCCCCCGCCCCTTCTTTCGACTCCCATCACCAACTGCTTGCAGTCTGTTGAAACACACTGGAAACCACCAGGGGGCGACCCCACTCTGGACCTATGCACTGTCTTCTTTATGCATGTTGTTGTCCCCAAATCTTGCACCCCCCCCTCTCTCCCTCTCTCTCTCTCCCACCGTCCATCGCCACATTCACTGAAAACATTCTACGCTTTGTGCTAAAAAAAAAAAAAAGAAACAACTCTTAAAAAAAAAACAACCTTTAGACAAGTACAGTGAAGTTGCACGACTTGTCGACAGACTGCATGAAATCGAAACATTTTTTTGTACATTGAGAAACGAAGAAGACGAAGTAGACGAACCCATTGTTGAAGTAGTCCCTTGACGGTGAGATGCTTTCTTTCTTTTTTCTCTTTTTTTGGTTTTGGTCCATTGGAGCCAGGGTTACCTTTCACTGTATCAAAGACAGTCCCCACTTTCTGTTCCTTCTTCATCTCACGGTGTAGTCGACAGTTCCATTTAGATTCTGTTAGGGCAAAAAAGAAAACGTAATGTTTCCACACTGTGCGCAAACGCCTGCTTCTGAACACGCTCGAGCATCACAATAAGCTAAGGACAAATTGATCTTGATATAAATGTACATAGATATACTACTTTGAAAGGTGACATAGCGAAAAAGTATTTATTTTTGTTGCTTTGGTCCCTCATGATTACTCATATATACATATATTGTACAGTCTAGATAAAGAAGATTACCTAAAATGGGTCGAGAAAAAAATATAGACTTATTTTGGCTAATGATTTCAAAGTCTGACGATTTTGAAATGTGTTTGAATATATGGTGTACATTACTTTGTACATGTATATGTTTGTTTTGTTTCTCAGCTCATCATTTTTTGTGTTGATTTTCCTCTTTGCGTTCTCTTCGAACGAGGTAGGGCATGAATGAGATAGAAGACTTGCATGGACTGACGCATTTTCCCTCCAGCGCAGAGTGGCGCTCATAGACGAGGACAAAAGTGCGCCGTAGCTGGTAGACATTTAAAAGGTCAAGAAGACGATTTTAGCAAAAAAAAGGGAAGAAAAAACAATAAAAACACCCTCAAATGCAATATGAAAACAGCTGTATGCACCCATGACAGTTCCTTTTATCATTTTGCCAAAGATTCAAACACTTAACATCTATGCTGACTGGCTGCATGTCGCTTTTTTATGTTCCATTTTGTGTGTGTGTGTGACGCACACGCAGCTTTTGCAGCCAAATTTACGGAAGTGGAACCAGCCGAGACTCACGGAAATCTACCGTGTTTTTTTTTTTTTTTTTGTGGTAAAAAGTAACAAGGGGCCTTTAGATTGACATTCATCTGCAGGTGACTTGTTTTGTCTTTTATTTATGTCCGGAAACAGGCCTGCTGTGCCCTCACAATTGGAAGTGTGTGAACAAAGCACTTATATTAACGTTAAAAAAAAAAACTAAAAAAAAAGGTTAACGAAGTTGGACGCGTCTCATCGTGACGCTTAAAGCTCCACTGCTGCAGCAATTTTATTTTTGTGTGTGTGTCTGCCAAAGGTGTCTTCTCTGACCCTGTTTCGAAAGGCCGCGATTTATTTATTCTTATTTATTTGTTTTTATTTCTTAACAAGACTTCATTGTCGCATTATCACAACGGGCAGCGTTAACGAACGGAGGCGTGCACGGCGGCCGTGGATTCAGAGCAAGACAGGTCGAGCACACGAGAGAAGACGATAAAGTCTGAAGACGTTTTTTTGAAAACATCTCTGAATGAAATCCTGGATTTGCTCTGTGCCTGTTTGTTTTGAGTCAAGCGTCACCGCTGTGGAAGAGACGCCATGAGGGGACTGGTTGTATGAATGTGCTTCGACATGGATGTACAAAAAAAAAAAAAAAAAAAAAAAAGGGTCTCCGATTTTGTTTGCGCTTCTCATTTACATTATATTGTCATGGCTTACCTGTTCCTAAGGAGAAAAAAAAAACATTAAAGCAATACAAATCAGTTACATTAAAGACATGTGGGTGTTTTTTTTTTTTCCAGCAGTTTGGAGTCATGATTTTTTAACGCCAAAGGTTTGGTGAGTTTCTTTTCTTTCTTCGTCTCTTCATCATCAGCTTCACTGTCAGCTGTGCAGCTCGTTAGGCTCCAGTGGAAACACCTTGGAGGAGTTGATTTAGAGGGGCTCCAGAGTCAGGGGAGAGACTTCAGGTAAAGTAACACACATGGATGAAAAGTGTCAGGAGATTAAAGGAAACAACGTCACATGAAACTCAAAGAGTTTAAGATTCAGTTTAATGCTGCTCATCCCAAAATGATTTATCACTTTATTCTTCCTCTTAGTTATTTGCATTTCAACACAACTTTAGCTGAAGGTGTTAAGTTGAAGTGACATGACGCCAAAGAGCATCAATAGAGGAGGAGGATGTTTGAAATGTAACATGGTGAAAGTCACAGGTTTTAGTGATAGTTTGTCACTTCCAAGCAGAAGCTGTGATCGATATATGAAAAACAAAAAGTGACAGGAGGATGTGTGCACCAGGGGACAAACTAGCCATGCATACAAACTTTTTAAAGGCAGGGAAAGTTTGCATCACACATGATGACGTGTTGAATTAGAAGAACGGTTTAGTTATTCTTGTTTCTCTCGCCCTGCTGGTCCAAGGGACTGTTTAAGAGACAACAGGTATTGTGCAGGGCTGTATGTAGGAAGCTACACCTGCAAGTAAAGACAATTTATTTGGCATACTTTTGGCCTTAAAAGAAAGTGAAGACGACATGTAGCAAGAGGGTTGATATCATTTGTGGGTTCATTGTTGAAATGACTAAACCTCTGTATTGGACACACTCTAACCTGAGGTACTGGGAAGTTTTATTAAGATAGGAAATGTTCCATGAGAAATAATATGCACTTTGTTCATTTGAAATGATATGATGCCATGTCATTTCAGAGTCCAAGTCTAAAAATCCTGAATCAGTCATTCCAACCACAATCTAAACTCCAAACACACCAGAGCTAAACTATCACATGAGAGCAAACAGATTGATAACAGGTGTGTGCATGTGTGTGTGTCTTTGTGGCCATGTGCAGAGTCAACAAAGGCAGCTCTCCAAGCGGTAGCAGTGTGTTTTTGTTCGCTCCGCGTGTTTCCAAGTTGCGAGTACCAGAACGCCAAAACCGGAGTCAGAGGCATGAGTGACGGAGGCAGGCTGTAGGGAAACATAATCGGAACTGTGTGAGGTTCTCACGGCTGCAGACGGTGTGCAAACGTGCAAATATGTATGACACACTCCCCCCCCCCCCGGACAAAGTACATAGGCCGAGTCGCCCTCTATGATGCCTCTATGAACAAGGGTGGTGCACGCACCCAACAAGGGTTTTTTGGCTCATAGACTCTTTAACATTCAAATGATCCTTAAAAAGGTCAAGTGTAAAGGTAAGCACATCTTGGATTGCTGCTGGATTGTTTGAATTGACATCTTTATTTGGACAAGGAAATCCCATTTCCAGAAGTCTTTCTTTTAATCGATCCCTTGAGTGCAATATCTCTAACAAGAGATAAAATAATGCTAAATCAAAACAGATTGTCGAGAAAATAAAAACATGGCGAAAGATAAAGCTTTGGATTGTTGTGATCCTGAAATCATATGGCTCTGGGTTCAAGCGATGCCAATTAATTGGGTAAAGAATCAGGACCACACGCTTCTTTCTTTGGAATCGTTTAAAAGCGACTTCTTGACATGAATGCAAAACCCCTCGGCCTGTAATCGAGCTCAAGTGTGGAACGCAGTGGAAACATGTGCAGTCTGTGAGAGGCATCTCACCCAGGTATGACCTTCCTACACTGCAGTTTTGGAAAAACCTGACCCCTACACATGCAGATGCCACTGAACTGTAAATATTCAAATAGAGGGAAAATTCCCACTCTGCTCTTATCAAATGGAAAAATCAACCTGCTTGTTTTGGTTTTATGCACTCCACCTCCCTGTGTGCTGTACTTTATTTTCCCTCCAAAGAGAAGTTAGTGATATATTCTTGTGTAAAAAAAAAATGAAAACATGAGCGTGAAAAGCTTCATCTATTGCAAAAGAGCAGCAGGCGCTAATTGCATCTTAATGCAAAACAAGCTTTTATGTAGCTTTAAAACATTAGTGACATCATTATACTGCAGTATGTTTGCTGACAAAGAAGAAAAATCTTGTAGGAAATATAAAAACCTCATCAGCAATGTTCTCTTGCTCCTGCCAGTGATAATCCTCTCTAGAAACTCATTATTTTAGTTCACTCAGACTTCCTTAAGACAACACTGCCGAGTTCTGGCTAATTATGGGTCGGAAACGGTACATTGGGCTTTTCCTCACATCCACATGTTGGTCAGAAAGAGGCCAACACGGTCGCTTTTGAAACAAGCCAGCTGTTCTCACGCCACAGCAGCAAAACAAGGGCCGGGATAGACTCTCGTCATGTCCCTGCAAGAGCTCGCTGGCTCCCTGTTTGGCTTCACGCTCGTGTGAAATCTCTCTGGAACAACGATCGTGCATCAAGAGTGATCATCAGCGCTCATATCTGCCACAATGACGTACATTTCTTCAGAATTGTGTGAGGATTCAGATCTAGTTCAGCCTTTAAAGGGTCAAGCTTGTGGAGACTGAGTGGAGACTGTGAGGCATCTCTGACGAGCAGACGTAGGAAGCAAACCAGTCCATTCAGGATCAAATAAAGATTCCTTTTCCTCTTGTCTCTTCTTCAAAAATATATGCAGAAGATATTATCAGACTCCATGCTAAACTAAGCTAACTTCTCATAGCTCCAGCAGCTTACTCATTGTACAAAGTCAAGAGCGCAAGAATACCAGCTTTCACTCAAAAAACACCTGATCTTTCTCCGTTGTCTTGTGTTTATGCTAAGCTAATGGACTCCCAGTATGAGCCTTGTACTTTCCTATATTACCACTTTGTGAATGAAAGCAAATGGACATAGAATATATCTGAAGATGTCCAACTATTTCAGTAAAATCGGGGTTAAAAAGGTTATCTCAGAGCCAGTGATACCTGAGACATTAGAGGCTGGTTTTTACAGTCAAAGTCGGTCTGATTTGTTATTTTTAGCATGCAACCATCATAAGATTGAAAGCATCATAAACTAAACAAGAACAAGAAGTGAAAGATACCTGATGGTCCAGAAACAGACCAATCATGGGGAGGTTGGGAGGTCACCTGCTTCATACAAAGTACAGCGCATTGCATTTCAGAAAAACCACAAACTGTCATAAGTGTTAGCAACTCCCAAACTTGAGTCATGTCGGGCGTAAGTGTTTCTCTTTACGACGTGGCTCTTGAGGAGCCTTGGGGGCTTTGGGAAGGGCCTGTCTTCCATCCAGCTTTGAAGAGTCTGGATCTCCCAAAGAGTCTGCGACGTATAGAGTTGGATGCATAATTAGTTTCAGATGCTCCGATCAAAATGATTTTGTCCTTGACATACTGTATGTATATGGCGCCTTTTAGTCTCGAGATCCATATTCTGAGAAACCTTTCAAAGCAAACTGGAAGATTCGTCTGGATTTAAACTACCTTTAGAGACGACCACAAGCTCCCAAACCAGGAGTGATTTCTCCTTAATGGTTGCCCAGTTTCAAAATGTTTGGTGCAGCAGACGAACACACACAAGTGGTATTAGATTTTGGATCAATCCACCACAGTCCATCCTTTCCAAAGTTCATAATTTCTTTTCTTTGAGTCGGTTTTGCCTACCCCCCCCCACCCCTTGAAAAGCCAGTGATAATTACCAGCATGAATGAACATGACCACCACCATTTATTTCAGGCAGCACCGATTCCATTACACAACCATTATTTAGTCTGCGAGTTTTGCCAATGCTAATAAAAATCGAGACAATCTCCTCCCCGGTGGAACCTACACCCTGGCCTCAACGCATTCATTCAGGGGCAAAAGCTGCCAGACAACTGCAGAACGTGTCTCACTTAACACATTTTTATCTCCTCTTCAGTCTAAAAACATCATATTTTTCTCATTCCAAATCTATCTGTTTGAAGGATCAGACAGATCACTATGCTCCGTCTCACTCCCTTTACACTGGATATGCTTTAAATTCCTTGATCTGTAACATCCACCACCTTGTAAATCTGTTCAAATCCAGCATAGCAAGAATTCTTTCAGAGCTGTAGGAGTCCTGCATTAAGTCCTGCAAAGTTTAATTAGTTAGTTGTTGTGATTCTGTATATCTTCAGCATGGTGCATACTCTTTACTCTTAATGCATAATTTCATTCTCACATCTTTACTTTTTCAACATGTTCTGTATGCCAGCCATTTACTCCAAGAGTTTCTCGCAAGTTTGAGTTTATCTGGACGGATTTTTATTATTGAAGCAATCTTTGTGTAATCTCTTGATAAAAGTACGTATTTTATAAAATGAGGGATAAAAAGATTAAGTTATATCGATCAGAACAATATATTGATTTGCTTATATGAAAGGTGGACCATTGGTTCAATGAACTAGGAAGCCAGTCTTTGCCATTTGCAATGGAGAAATGTTGTTTTAAGGCGGATTCTTTTCTAAGTAAAACATGGATGTAAAACAGAACTCTTACACTTTAACAGCAGTGAGCCATAACAGTTGAAGAAGTAATTCATTTATGATATAATTTAGCTCCTTGTGCCTTACACGTACTCTCCTAATTATTACCTTTTCTCCAGTATTGGCAGAAGTTATCTCTTCAAGGCGGGCCTCGCCTGTGCCTGTAGCTACAGACACTGATACAAATATGATCAGATTTATTTGATAGAGATAGAAACACACTGGGCTGACTAGCTATGTCAACTGAACATATAACTATCCAGCACCATTCATAACTCTGCGATCGTGTTACTTTATCGCTAGCTGTTTGAGTCAAGAGCAAAGATTTATTGCTTTATGTAGGGATCAACATACATAGAAATGTGTGTTCTGAGATTTGCAGATGTCAAATGAGGTGATCATGGCATCTTATTTTAACT